TTCTTTTTATACTAGTGGAAGAATCCTTAATACTTTCTTCACCTTTCAAGAGCTTATTTATTTTCATTAGCAGCACAAATCTAAAGAACCAGCACAAATCAGTTTTTGCTTCAAATAACAGATTCCATGCACTTGCCCCATAATGAATGCTAAGTCAGAGATCTGCTGTGATAGCTCTCTGCTTGCCCATTCTTGGAATTGTTTCTTGATTTGTGTCTTGATCATTTTAGATACCCCACCTCCCCAAAAGCTTGGGGATTATTGGCTGTTTCTGTTGGATTTATTTGTTAAGCCCTGGCCTTGTGACCTTCTGTGTCTGACCCTCCTCCTCAGTCTCTACAGACAGACTGAATTTATTCATTTTATCATTTGTTTCTTTGCTATCTTTAATTCTATTTTGTAAATACCCTTGATTCCATATTCCTGACCAGGAAGAGCTAGTAGCACTGGCCACACAGTTTTTACCTGTAGTGAAGCATCTCAGGCTTAACCTGTACCATTTCATCACATCTAACATGGCTACAAACCTGCTAAAATATTTTTTGTTAACTACAGACAGACTTATTCTAAGTAAATCATAATGATATTTCATCTTTTATCCACCAATCTCAAAACTTTTTAGGTGTTAAGTGAGCAGTTTAAACACCTAGGCTGTTATGAAGCAAATCATTATCCTCCTTTTACACGTGGGTGTAAACCTTGGCACCAAGAAACTAAGTGACTTGCTCAAGATGAATTAGTAACAAAGCTGAAAACAGGAGTTCTGACTTGGTGTCCTTCCTCTAACTACTAGAACACATTTCTTTCCACTTAATTAATCTTCCAAATGTGTGTGTGTTTTTAAAAAGTTCCCATATCAGTCATTCCTTTCATTTGAAGGCTTGAAGAGTCATAACTTTCCTTTTCAGGCATTGTTCATACTTGTCCCAGTTACATCACATTCACTTGGTATTTTATGACTATCCTGATTTATTTCTTATGCTTATTTACCATGTCAATTTGTCTGTGATTTCTGGCTGCCTTCTAGTTCTGTGATGTAATGTCTGGTATTCATGATGTCATCGGTTAGCAGCTAAGCCACGTCATGTAAAAAAAGTGTTCAGAATTCTTGAATGAGTACAGGGCAGTCCTAGGTTAGAGACAGAAATTACACATAAACTGGTATAAGTGATTGAAAACCAGTTCAGATCTGTAACACAACAGAAGTTTAGTGTACATAAACCATTTTCAAAATGGCCAAAACCAGTTTAAGATAAACCTGGATGGGTATAGTATCTGATTTAGGTTAAACTAATTTAAGTTAAATCAGTTTGTTGAACTTTTGTTCCAGATCCCCTCTAGATTCAAGTTAACTCAGTCCACCCAGCATCCCAGGATGCTTTGCATCTCCCCCACCACCCCCTCCCCTCTGGCTGAGCAGGCTAGCCGTTGCCCAGGCTGTCTGCTCCAGCCAAGCAGACAGGCATGCTCTAGTACTCCCCCACTGCAAGCATGTGGCTACATTTCCAGAATCAAAAGTGAATGTTGCATATCAGTTCAATCTATGCATCTTAGACTAAGCTGCGAAGATTGAATTGATTTCAGCCTCAGGCTTTTTGACTGCCTGTACTTAGCCCTAGTGAGAAGAGAACAAAGGCTGTTGGAGAAGAGGAATGGGAGGATAGAGCCAAACTGTTAGGACCCTGACAGCAAAAGTGTGAAGCGTCTTAGAAATTGTGTTTATATAAGGTGTTCTAAAACGCGTCTTCCCTTGGAACTTGATAACAGAAATCCCCTCCCTGATGATGTGGCCCAACTGGTGGGAACATTTCAATTAAATTCTGTCACAGAGAGAAAGCTAAAGATAGGATGCTAGTCTTACATGTGAAATTTCCTATTGATCTCTTACTCAAGTGCGTTCAGTTCTTGCTCATCTTTATTAGCTGTTTGGCACCAACTACCTGTTTAACATTATATGGAACATAGAACTAAACGCAATCTCTGCCCTGTATTTGTGGGGGGGTCTAAAGATAGACATTTAAGCACAGAGAAATCCAGATGCCTGGAAGTACTTAGGTATTTAGGGTCAGGGGTTGGAGACAGGGGTTTTTCTTGAGTTACGGTTTGGCTATTTTTGGATGATTTTGGTTCTGTGTCTGATGCTCCACAATTTTCTGCCAAAACATGTTGGAAATAGAGATTACAGAAGCAAAATTTAGTTTGGAGTAGGAGTAAATTGCCCCTACGAGTATGTCTTGATCCCAGCTTTGAAATGGGTCACACTTCTCTTCCTGTTTCTACACTTAACATAATTTGGAATCCACTTCTGTAAAAGTAGTCGTGCTAGTCTGATAGCTGACACTGTTCAACCAGCTAATCAGGAATTGTAATTCCAGATTAAGCTAATTAGTCTATTTCATGAAATGCCCCATCTCCAGTAGTAACCAGTGCCTTGGACTTCAGGAAAGGGCAGGAAACTTCCACCCAGCAGTGGCCAGTAATTCTGTATAGAGAGGAGAAAAAGATGCCTCCTGGCTCTGATTATGATCACTGGACACCCAGAGGCATGTGATTTGATCACTTCTGTCTTAACATGAATGACATACAAAAAACTAGAACTCTTAGTTCCAAAATGATACTTTCTATTAGACCAACTGCAAAAAGGCAAGAAAATTGTCCTTTTATGCAAGCTTTCGGGAATCAAAGTTCCTTTGTCAGGCTCTGGGAAAAGTGTAGATGGTACAAGATGGTAAAAAGTTCCCATAGGTTGGAAATAAACTTAATTTTTGCACAGAGGGAACTGAAGATGGAAGCCTGTCCGTCTGGGTCCATGAGAGTGTCTTTGTAAGCTGTGTTGAATAGCTCTTTGATGTGTTGATCAGGTAAAATTCCTTCCCTGAAGGTGTCAGATGGTAGGTAGGGAGGCAAAAAAACCAAACTTCCTTGTTGTTCTGCAATGAAATTTAAAATCCAAAATCGGCTGAAATTCGGCATCTTCCATGTTTCAGGGGTGTACTTGGTAGCCGTCTGGTAGCCGTTGGTTTGAGCCGTTTTGTCTCAGACCAACTCTTGGTAGACGGTCTGAGACAAAAAGACATACAAAAACTGGAACTCTTGGTTCCAAAATGATACCTTTTATTAGACCAACTGGAAAATGGCAAGAAAATTGTGTTTTTCTGCAAGCTTTTGGGAATCAAAGTCCCTTCATGAATGATGCCTGTATCAGTGTTATCAGTCAAAAAGTAATCCAGATACACAGTGCGTGGCTTGCTGACCTCCTGTTGCTTTGTATTGGACCAACTGACAATCTGCTGTATGAAATAGTACTGGCCATTCTTTGTTTTAAAATATATCTGTCATTAACCTAACTGATTTCTTGTTCTTGTTTTATGGGACAGTGTGAAATGGAGGCATTATTCAGTACTGTATCCTTGTGGTCTAAAATGTAAGTCTTTTTCTGGGTGCTTGAAACTCTTCCTGCTG